TTGACTTTTTTGTCTGGTAAAATATTTTAACAACAATGTGTAATAAAAATTAATTTTCATCATAACTTTTTTTAAATTTTATCCATTGTTTTCATTTTAATGTTAGTTATCTAAATATTGCAATTTTCAAGTTCATTTTTACCCAAAAAAAAAAAAAAAAAAAAAAAACTTTTATTTTAATGTTGCTTAAAAATACATACCACACAATAAAATCACTCCCCAAATTGTTTTTTTTAAATTTTAAAATTTTTTAAAAGTATGACGTACCCTAATAACCATGTTACTTTAGTGACAGAAAACAGTATTTAAGTATTTTACTTAAGAATTTAATTTTGCTATTTGTAAATAATTATTTAAAACTTTATAATATTTTTAAACATTTATTAACTATGTTTTAGTAAATTTAATATTAATAATTATTAATGTTTGAAATAATTAGTACTTAAATGTTTATTATTTAAAACAGTTTTTAATTAATATTTATATTACGCCATTTATTTACATATATTAAATCGTAACATTAACAAAATGGTTTAACGTCTCGTATTAAAATAACTATTCGAATAAAAAACATTTAACAAATGTTTTTATTATTATTTAATTTTTGAAATTTTAAACATAGTTTAAAAAATGATACATTTTTTCATTTAAGACCATATTATTTTTCAAAATATATACCTAATTTTTTTATTCATTAAGTATAATTAAAAAAAGTTATAGTAAATAATTAAACTATATTTGTAAAAAAAGGAAGATTCTTTGTTATTTTGTGTTTGTTGTTGTTATTGCTTACTTGGAAATTATTCTTTCTTTTTTTTTCTTTTACTTTGTGTATATATCGTATATATTATACGAAATGATACTTATTTTAATTCTATTTTATCTTATGATATGTTTTTTTCTTTTTTTTTTTTCTTTCTTTTTATCACACTCTCTTTTGTTTCAATATTGTTCATTCATTTATTTGTTCACTTTATACTTTTTGTTGCTTTTTTATGTTGTGTTTTCATTTGTTACGTGTTATTTTGTATCTGATTTGAGGTTTTATAACGGTCTTAATATTATTGCTTGATTTGAATCTTTATTATTATAATTGTTTTCGTTATTTTTATTATTATTATTTTCTGTTATATTACTGTTAATGTTATGTAAACCCTATCGTTGTTATTTTATATTGTGTTATTACATATTACTATCATATATTATTTTAACTGTATTATTAAGATGATTAGGTCACTGCTCTGAAATTTGACTGCAAGCTTAAGACTTTGCCTCAATTAAAAAACTTCGATTTATTGAGTCTCTACTAACATATATTAATTAGTAGCTGTGCTAAGTAACAAAAAGAAATGTAAAAAAAAATTCCATTAAATTAAAAGAGGGGGGGGGGGATTTTTTTACATGGTCAGCAGTTCTAAACTCAAAAAAATTTTATGATGAAATTTTGATCTAATAATGAGTTTGAGTTTATTTATGGTATCCTTAAAAAAATTATAAAATTTCATTCCTTTAGGCGATTTTGTACTGATTGGGTATTGCTGTTCCCAAGCTTTAATTAGCACCTTTTTATTCTCATTTGAGACTCGGATAAGTATTCAAAAACTTGGAGTAATTTAGATAAATAATAAAAATCTTTGGTCTTCTTGAATAAAAATCAACAACAGCTTTTTTTAAATTTTCTCCATGTTTACTATGTTCTATGCTGACTTTATATCTTTTTCAGGTAGGTTTAAACTTTGCATGCACTGCCTCTCCAGTCTGTTCTGCAACATTTCCGGCATATATTATGGTATTTTAGGAAAGGAACAAGGTGATTTACAATAATATGTATTTTTATGTAGTTTCTAATGTTAATCCTTCTATTTTTGAATCATGGATTTTTTTTTGTATAGATTTAAAATTTTTAGCAAATTTGTTGACAATTGTTTTAAACTCTGGGTTTAAATGTCTTCCAAAAGCTCCATCTTTTACTGAATTAAAAGCTTGCAAATAATTTATTACAGATAATATTAAGTGTTGGTATTTTATATTTGCTTTATCACAGCTTGTTTAAGACAATCTTATTTTTTAAGTATTTTGTTTGAGTTATTTCCATCCAACTCCATGGTATCCTTGAAAATAAAAGAAAATAAATATGATAAAGACAGACAGATTTTAAATCCAGGATCATAGATAAATAATAACACTTTGCCTAAAACTGCAACTGCTCCCATCATCAAGTGCAATTCTGAAGCAATCTTATGAAAAATGAATGTTTCAGGATTCTCATCTAAATAAATCAATCTTTTATTAATCCCATAGGAATAATTTGACATTTTTTTGTTGGACATCCATCATTATTATATTTATGAGGCCAGTAATCAAGATTTCCAAATATTCTATGATCTCCAGAAGTCAATGAGCATAATTCTGTTCAGTACAAACATGCATTTTTTCCAGAGTATGAAGACAAACCCAATACAGAATTTGCACATTTAAAGTCAAAAAGTCATATAAAATTTTACTTCTTCTATCTTAAGTTTTGATATGACTAATCCTAAATTCCACTTAGATTCAAGAACATCCTTAACTATAGGTAAGATCTTTGTACGTTGAAATCCACTGTCTTGATACTTTGAAGATGAATGTTGATTATCAGGATCAAATACATTACATGCAGCCTTCAAAAATTCTCCTTCTGCAACTACAGCTATATTGACAAATTTTGTAAAAAGGTTTAGATTTCTTTTAATTATAATATTCATTACAAAATTGCTTGTATTTGTAACATAAACCAAGTTGCAATCAATTTTTGACCCTTGATTTCCTCTAAACTCAACTAATTCTGCAAAATAGAATGTTTTAACTTGTGACTCAAGTTTATGTAGTTTTCCAAATACATTTTAAGTTATTTAATTCGCTTCAAATGAACTTTTTAGACTACAGACTAAAACTTAAGTACTTAAAAACTAAAACTTAAGTACTAGCTTTTGAAAGTAATCTGTAAAGTTAGCAGTATTTGAAAAGGATTCATATTTAAAAATTTCGTTCTTTCCGATATCTATATAATATATATATATATATAATATGTATATTATATATATATATATATATATATATATATTATATATATATATTATATATATATATATATATATATTATATATATATATTATATATATATATATATTATATATATATATATATATATATATATATATATATATATATATATATATATATATATATATATATATATATATATATATATATATATATATATATATATGTATATATATATATATATATATATATATATATATATATATATATATATATATATATATATATAAATTATATAGAGCAGTAATAATTCAGTTAAAAACACTTATCTAACTTTTGTGCACTTCAACAGCATGTTTCACTATCAGTAGGTTTATCAGGAAGATTGTCTAAACATCAAAAAATTCAAGTTATAGAAAAATTGATTTACAGGAAGTTGGAATTATTATAATTATGTAATAACTTTAGTTATTTTGCAACCAGGAAGTTGCTTCAACTTCATTAGATAATTAAGAAATGGTGAAAAGAATTCTTTAGAATTAGGATAATTATAGACTGGTCATTTCTTTTTATATTTTTTTAAAAGGACCTTATTTTCATATCTGCATTTAGAATTTAATTCAGATTTTTTATTCAGTAAATTTTCTTGATCTAAATGAGTAATAATTTCAAATTTTTTTTGTAAACATAGTATACATTTTTTGGAAATGTTATTATAGGTAGGCGCAGTTTTTAGAATAGACCAGTTTAATTTAAAATTAATATTTTTTTCTTTTAGTTGCCAAATATATTTTAACAGCATAGTCTCTTTTTAGTATTTTTTATGTTTAAATGATTGTTTGTGGTTTGGGATAACGTTTTTTCTATTTGCTCTCAATTAAGCCAATATTGTTTATCGGGGTTGTTAATATAATAATATTTTTTGATAAGTGTTTACCATTCATAGGCAGTCAATTTTTTGCTTACAGTAACAATTTTCAGTATTTTTTTTTTAAGAAATTACTTTTTTATTAATCATTGCAAATTTATGGCCTTTTATAATTCTTTCAAAATTTTTTGTACAGCTATGGCTTACTTTAATAGTATTTCTGTTAAAAATTTTGTGCAATTTATTAGAGGAAAGAAAATGTTTGTTTACTAACATTTTTATTTGAAGAGTTTTGATTTAGTCTATTGTTAATTGAAATAAGAATTTGTTTTAAAATTTGAACACTCTAAAAACAGTCCGTTAAAAAAAGTAACGGATTGCGCTTTTTCATTAAATTAACGGATTAATTCGTTACCAAAAACCAGAAAATTAACGGAGTAAAATTAACTATTTACGGGTTCTTTGAAATTTTGTTAATTCAACGGATTAAATATTCTAATCGGTCAAAAAAAAATTTTCAGTATATTATAGCTTTTTATTTTGAAAATGATAAAGTTTTGAATGCGTTTTTCTCACATTTACATTTACATCATAGATAAAAGTTGATTGCAGTAAGTGTAATATGCCATTTTTTAAAAAGCTTTACATTTAGTAGACAAAGCAAATGGATAAATATAATTTAAATTACGTTCTGTTATTTGTAATTTCGAAGGTTATTTAGATTATTTTAAGTTTTCTATATAACGCTTTATATAGAAAATTTAACAATAAGGTTTGTTTTGTTTTAAATTAAAAGCCATTAGTATTACTAAATAATATATAATAACATATATGGTAAGTTAATACATATCATATATGGTAAGTTACTACATGTCTAAATCTAGAAAATTATGCAAGAATATATGCAATCCATATAGTCTATATTATAAAAATAAAAGTTCAACTAATCCTTTACTAGTAGTAAAGGGTTAGTTGAACAATTATTTCTATAATATAGACTAAATGGATTATTTATAGTCTTTTTAACTTTATATTTTAGACATATGACATGTAGTAACATACCATATTAGTTTAAATCAGTTGTAAAATTAAAAATGTTAACATCTTTGCTAGGTATATTTATTTAGGTTAGTTACAGCTAAGTTTACATGGCTAGTTAATATGCTTTTATAAATTGCAATTTTTATTAATTTCCAAATTAAACATGTGGCATCCAATATCATAAACTAAGTTTATACTGATGTGTTTATATTATTTGAGAATTTTTTGTTTTAGACACATGGCTTTTGCAATCCCACTGTAAGTTAAAACTAGTTGTAAAATTAAAAAATTTATATTGGAACTTCTATTTCTTTTAACATTCATGTTTATTTAATTGAGTTACAACTAAGGTTATATATGAGTTATTTATAATATCTTAGAATTTGCTGCTTTAGAGGCACGGCATTTAGTGTCACGTTGTAAGTTTAAATTGGTTGTAGAACTTATATTGTAACTTGCATATTTATTTAGTTGAGTTTAATCTAAGTTTATTTTGATTTGTTTGTATTATTTTAGAATTTACTGTTTTAGACACGTGGCATGTGGTATCCCACTGTAAGTTTGAATTAGTAAATTTTAAAAAAATTATATTTTAACTTGCATTTCTTTTGACGTTCATGTTTATATAATTAGATTACAACTAAGTTTGTGTATGGCTTGTTTATATTTTTTCAGAATTTGCTATTTTAGACACTTGATATAAGCTGTCATACTGAAAGTTTAAATTGATTGTAAAATTTATATTGTAACTTGCATTTCTATTGGCGTGCATATTTATTTAGTTGAGTTTCAACTATTAATAATAATAATAATAATAAGTTTATATCTGGCGTGTTTATATTACTTTAGAATTTGCTGTTTTAGACACGTGGCTTGTGATATCCCACTGTAAGTTTGAATTAGTAAATATAAAAAAATTGTATTTTAACTTGAATATCTTTTAGCATGCATATTTATTTAGTTTAGTTAAGTTTATATCACACTATTTTAACTATTATTCTACTATATTCTATATTCAATATTATTTTAGAATTAGCTATTTTAAACATGTGACAAGTGGTATGACACTGTAAGTTTAAATAAGTTGTAAAATTAATTTTTTTATATATTTGCATATTTAATCTTGTTTTGATTTATCATAGTTTTTAAAAGGTTAGAGACCTTATTTTTTGCTCCTGATAGGTATTGATGTATGTAAAATGTATAGAGTCTTTCAGTTATCAGATAATGTCAATGTAATCTTATACTTTTTTTTTAATTTACATTTTAATAAAGATATAATTTACTTGTTCCATTTAACTTTATCTTTAGAAAACGATATCAGAGATAATTAAAATAACAAAATTTAGAATAGAAATTTATGTATAATGAATTACCAAAAACATTTTCTATAGTGTTATCAGTAACATTTTATTTTGGTTTTATACTAGGTATGTTATTAAGTTTCCATATTTTTCTTATTTTATTTTATATTAATCTTTTAACCAAAACTAGCGACCAAAAACTAATATCTTGGCATTGATTTATTTATGTGTGTTTTATATAAATGTACTAGCTTGAGTATTGTGTGTTAAAAATATTTTTTTAAACTATTTTTATTGTAATTTAAAGTATATTGGATTAAATATTATAAATATTTGATTAGTTTTCAATTTTTAAAACGTTTTAATGTAGAATATCGAAATAAAATAATGCAATTAAATAAAATGCAAACATTAACAAATATAAGGTTTATTTGGTTATGAAGTCACAATTCTGGCCTCTCTAATTTTAGATTTTAGTGATTTTAACGAAATAATCACTAAAATAACTTATTAACACATTTATTTCATAGGAATAACAACCGCGGAAAATTTACTGCCTAGTGTAATAACTTCTTAATTTTAATTTGTTAATTTAACGGATTTCCCGTTAGTGCAATAGCGACAGATACAATTCGTTGTATATAACGGATTTTTTCTTAGAGTGAAGGGGATGATTTGAATTTATATTAATATGCGACAATTTATCATTAGGTTTTTTACAAGGCCTATTAGAATTTTCCAAAAGGTTAAATGTGACATCTAGAAAATTCACAATCTTTAAACTAATGTTTCTTTGAATTTAGAAGCCAATGTTTTTGAAAATTATAATAATATTATTTCTGATTTTGTCAATTTTAGATCCTGAGTTTTTTTTTGCATTATACTTAAACCATCATCGCGATACAAGCCTAATTGATTAAAATGAACTACTTTAGCTAGGGAATTTAAAATATATAAGCCTACAAACTTGTAAATTTCTGCTCCATCGTAACTTTCCATTGTTACATCAAAGCATTCTAAGTGGTTTGTTTCTACCACATCTCGTTATCAAAATAAAGTATAGCTTTTTCTGCAATATTTAATTAGACGATTAGTGTCGTCTGTAATTTTAGTGTGGAGTTTTCCAAATTCTATTGTTTTATCTAAAATTTCGGCTGTAATTTAGGGGGAAAATCATGAATATTAAATCGTATAAATGTGCATTCATTTTTATTACTAATTTTAGAAAACCAATTTATAACATCAGTGGTATTTTTCCACTGTTTCAAATTTACTTGATTTCGAATAATATTATTTATTTTGTCTAATTTAATTTTACTTACGTCACTTTTTGAGGGCACGAGAAGCCATAACATAAACATGGAAACTAACAATTTTAATTATTACCTAGAAAATTTCCCAATCCTAGACAAAAAAAATTGTCATTAACAGTTTCAGGTTGTTCAGATTGAACAATATCTGTTATATCGACACTGCGCCTGACTACTGATTCCATGTGTATCTATATATTAATGTGTTAGAGTTTGATATATTAGAGTCTAAATTTGCCAACTGAAAAGAGTTTTTATAAGATTTTTACAAAATTACTAATTTTATTACTAACTTTCAAATTTTAATCATTCAAATTAACATTTAAAACGTAAATGTAATTAAAATGAAGCTTTAAGATACCTTGGATACTTTTAATAACAAGGAACTTATCGCACTACTTTTTTCTGAGTAAATAAATATATAAAAAGTAAATAAAGATTGTTTTGACAACTAGGTAAATAAAACAAGAAAAGAATTAGAGTTTTCCTTTGCAGAGTCCTTATTTAAATAATTAATCAAAACATTAAATGTTAACTGAAATTTTTAAAAAGTTAAATGAAAATCGCCACATAAAAGAGCATAATATCTCCTAACTCTGTTCTTAAAGTATGTTTTGCGTTACGCAATTTATGGACGATCCCTATTACAAATCATTGTAGAATATGCTTCTAAGTTGGTATCATGTTTATAGTTAACAAAAGTATTAATTTTTTTATGAATGGGTTCAGAAACTGTAAATAACTTTTTAGATCTTGCTTCTTTATGCTCCAAGTAAACGCAGCAAACACTGAACATTAAAGCCATTTTTTAAACTAAATTTAATTTTAGTTACGTATTTATCTAGTTTTATGTTGTTCCCAGGGATTTATCAGTGCATCCACTGACTATTAAAATAAAAAAAAATTCAAAATTAAGTATCATAGCATGTGATTTTGATTTTAAAATTGATTTTTTATTAATATTGTATAGTATTAGTAACCATAGTAATCATGGGCGTAGAGTACTCACATTTTCAAGGGGGGTAAAATATTAAATGTTTGATTTTTTTGAGCGATGTATGTTTACTTTCAAGTATTTTTTATTTTAAAATATAGAAATATAAGAAAACAACTTTTGATTTTGGTTAGCTAGCTTTAAGAAATTAGAATAAAACAAGCAGATATTAAATTTTACTTGGTTTCTAAATAAAACATTCTACGACGTGTTTTGTTTTTTTCAATAAACTTATCTAACGAAAAATCCATTTTGAGACTCCTAGTAATTTCTTTATGGGTATTCATTAGAGAAACAGTGTTTAGTCGTTCCTGGCTCATGGTCAATCAAAGAAAAGTTTTTAATCTACGCAGACTACTGAAGGATCGTTCTGCTTTACAAGTTGACACTGGCTGGACCAGAATTATTTTAATAAAACGGACAATATCCAATGCAATGCTTCTCAATCTAATTTGTTCTTTTGTGCGGATAAAATTTAGAGCTGATTGAAAGTCTTTTAATTGAACTTTTTTTCTTTTAGGTTCGTCAATAAAAAGGTCCCGTTGAAGTTGCAGTCTTTGATAATTAGAAAAATCGTCCTTGTAGAAGGTTTTTATGTTGTCGATACTGCATTCAGTGTTATTTGATCCGATCACAAGCTCTTCAACACTTGTTAAATGACGAGTGGTTTCAGTTGATTCAAAACTATCAATGAGGCCAACTAAAACTGCATCTAAACTGGTAAAGTATAATTGCTTGTAGATCTCATTTGGATCTTTTGCTGGTAATAAGTATCCCTGAAGCTAACTTCAAATCTTGCAGGTACTTTTCTCTTCCTGGACTGGTTTGTCTAAATCCATCGTTTTGCAGATTCAATTGCCGAATCAAAAAGTGTTTTGAAACGTGACTCAGTACGTAAAGATCTCAAAATTTGTTTCAGGGTCTGAATGATGGATTCACCCTTGCTAAAGTTGAGTTGGCTTCCCTGAAGTTGAATGCTTGAATCTTCTAGGATGGTAAAAATGAATTGAAGAAATTCCAATATAAAAAATGTGTCAAAAACCTGAAATAAAGACAAAAAGGCCATTGCCTCCACTCGGCATTTAGTAAAGTCAGGGTTGGTGGTAAGGTCTTCCAGCCAAGCGAAAAGTGATCTGTAATTACTGGTAATAGATACTAGAGATGGCTTGTGCATTATTCATCTGGTTGTGCAAAAAGGTATAAATAATGTTCCATTTTGGTGTCCATGTTCGCTCTCATTATGGTCTTTTAGGCTTGAAAACCAAGCGAGCCTCTTTGGTAAGCCTCTGGTAAAAACGATGAACTTTTGAACAAGTGACATGATATTTTTTATATCAGGTATGTTTTTTCTTTCATTTTGTACGACCAAATTTAGATTGTGAGCTCTGCAATGAACATAATGGGCTCTGCTTTCTTGTTGAAGAACAATTTTTTGCAAGCCAGCTATTTCAGAAGACATGGCAGCAGCTCCATCGTAGCATTGTCCCCGACAGTTCACAAGCCTTTAGTTGGAACGAAGAAGGACATCTTTCATAATCAAAAACAGATCCTTGCTTTTAGTTGTGGCTTTCTCATAAAATCCACAAAAATCCTCAATAATTTGGAACTCATTGTCCACAGTACAGAATGATATCGATACCTATACAAATTAAAAAATTATAAAATTTATTAAAGGAAAATACAAAGTTCAATGAATTGTTGGTTTAGCTAATAATACCTGCTCTTTTCCTGTGTTATCAGACGATTCATCCATAATGAATCCAAAGAAATCTTTATTTTTTATTGTGTTTGATAATTCACGTTGGATAACTAACGAAATATCCAACGAAATTTCATTTGTGACATCTGGAGATATCCACTTGTACTTCTCTGGTTGATTTATCCATGTTTTCAAAAACGGTACATCTATAGGCCTCAGTTCTAAGAGCTGAAATAGATTTGAAGACTCCTTTGTCTTGCCTCTGATGGCCAAGCCTTGACAGCCGAGAAAAATCAGACTAGAAAATATATAGTCGAGAGCTTTTCTTACGTCCTCATATCTTGAAGATGTTAAATAGAAAGTTTACTGGAAACTGTAGAATCTGACGTACTTGGCAAAATCATTTTGTTAGCAGCTCGGTGAAAATGGGTAGCTTCATGACGGCGAAACTTCTCATGAGCTTTCTTCCAAATATTAAATCCATTAATAACAAATCCTAAAGTGGATTTTCTTTCTCTCGATTCAGTAGACAGCGGAAGCTTCATTTCAGTAGCTTTGACACACGAGGAACAAAAGGCTTTTTCTTTAACAGCGTCATACTTAATCCACTTGTACTCGTCTTCCCAGCTGGACAGTTATCGACGAATGTTTTTTTCCGCCTTTTTTCCATTTGAACCTTCTTTTAAATTAGATTTGGATGACGATAAATCATGAAATCTGAAAAGAAAAAATCTCTTATTTTAGGTTGTTATTAAAAATCTTTAATAATTTTGTGAGGTTAGCTTGTACCTTTTTTGTTGATCCTCATTATTATCATCAACAATCAACAAGATTTGTACTATATGTTTGTAACTTAAACTTATCATCAAAAAACGATGGCACTTGTACGGCAGATGAAATGGGCACATTAGCATTATGAGAATCATTCTTCTTAGTTCGAATGATAAACTTATCCATGCTGTAAGTTTTTCGAAAAACAATTTTTTTTTTTAGTTTTTTAACT